CCGATGTCCTGGTAACACTCGGGGTAGTGTTGCCAGCACTCAAAGACTCCTGCCTGCTCAGAATTCCCCACCTTAAATCCCCAAAGGGCGTATAGTGGCCTCTGATCAGACTCTAGAGACCTGGGGCTAGAACCAGTTCAGCTACCATCTAAGCATGTCATCTCATTCTCTAATTCTACTCTTTCCACCTGGTCCTTGAAACGCTCAACTCCCTCCGCTGTGCCCTGGCGTTGACTTACCACATGCCAGGCACTGGGCCAGCCTACAGCAGGTGCACCCCACCTTCCAGGAGCACGTGGTGTAGTAGCAGCGGACTCAGACGTCACTAACTTTAACAGCGTGCCAGGGAGCAGGTCATTACATAGGAGAAGGAGTCTGAGAACCCAGGAAACCTTTGTGGACCAGAAGTCTTCCTTCTGGTCTTTGCGGGAGACTTTGAAGCATCGAGGAAGCGTTCCTGAGAAAAGTGAGAGGTGTGACAAGACAGAGCAAAGCTGTGTGTGTGTGTGTGTCTCCCCATTGTTGCAGCCATTGTGTATTTTGAATGCCTTCCAACCGAAGGGTGTCATGATTTGAAATTCCGGTGGCATGGCTTCCAACATGATAGCAACACACGGGCCACCACAGTGCAACAGACTAGCCAACAGGTGATGGAGGGTTTGGGCACGCGTGTCTATAGCCACCTGCTCACCACTTCACAGCAGTGCTCTGCATGCATGTTCCTTCCCGCGCCACGGTGACCTCCCCTTCCCTCTAAGGCGGGGGCATCTCTGAGTCCGCTGTGCCTGGCCCTGATGGAAAGTAGGATTTCAGGAGAAGTGTGCTGAGCGCACAGTTCAGACTGCACACCCAGCAGTCGGAAAGACTAAAAGACAGATTGAAACAGCATCAACGATCACCCCTTACCCTCTGCATGCCCCAAGGACTACATTGCCTGTCTTTCATGATCTAGGCCCGTGGCGGTTGGCTTGGTCATAGGTGGCGTGGCACAGAAGGAAAGGGAGAAGAAGGCGTGGGAGGCTAAGGGAGGAGGACAGGTGAAGGATGCACCTTTAGATAGGCAGGCGGGAAGCTGGCCTGGACACCTGTTTCTCTTCCTCTTGCTGAGGCCCTGTTTTCTACCACCATCTGGTGGCCACATCTGTCCATAACAACCCTCCTTATATGCTGAGAGCACCTCTACAAAGCCGACGTTTCAGGCTGGCCTTAAAGAACTAGGACCTCCCAGAAATAGCATATAAATTGGTAAATATACATGCCATGTACTTAATCCTAGCCTGAAAATTCAGGAACTGTTATCAGATTCTTAAAGAAGTGTTCAGTCCCTGAAAGACTGGGATTCACTGCTAACAAGGCTTGCTTAGAACAGTGATTTTTTTTTTCCCTTCCCGAATTTCGTGAAGAATCAAAGCAATAGAAAAACACACTGTTGTCCTTGCCTGCTCAGAACCTTCCAGTTCCCAGAACACAGAATCCAGTTTGAAACACTGCTCTTGTCAAGGCAAAGGCAGCAGGGTCTGAGAGAGCTAACACCATCTGCCATCGTCCATTCTGACTTGTGGGGAGCTCAGGTGTCTCAGAGTAGAATTGTGCCCCTGGGTTGTTTTTTTTAATGGCTGGGTTGGGGTTTTTTCAAAGTAGACTGCCAGGCCTTTCTTCCCAGGCTCCCCCTGGGCAGCCTCAAAACTCAGTCCTTTCACTTTTGCAGCTGAGCACATGAGCTGTTTGCAGAAGCACCTGGAGAACCGCAGAGGCCCACTGATCACGCTCAGGAAAGCAGGGTTTGCTGAGGGTCACCACGCATCTCAGTCATACACGGGGACTTGGCCGCCAGCCCTTTTCACTGTTCAAGCTTGCCTTAGTTCCCCCAACCTACATTTTTTTAAAAGGAAGACTGTTTTTTACCCTCAATATAGTTCCCAAGCAGGAAGACATTTTTTTTACCCTGTAGGCTTCCAGTCTTATAGAAATAAAATCTTTTCTCCTCTAAATTCCTCTCAACACACCATGATGCCTGGCAGAGGATAAGTCTGTGGCGTCTGTTTTGAAGATATATAGCATTGACACGCAGGACCAGGTGACACCGTGGACAAACTAAGCCCAAGGGAGGTAAAATGACTGCTGTTTTCTGATACCAACTGAAAGGCCGGTTTCTGTCTCGTAGCTTTTGTATTTACGTGCCTGTCGTTGGGATGGAGGGGGCTGTTAACTCCCAGGTCCGCAGTTCGAAGGGACCACGAAGATGCTTTCTGGTCCCCAAAAGAGCGACCGTGTCAGAAACTCACAGGGGCAGTGCTACCCAGTCCTGTGGGGTCGCTGTGGTCAGAATTGACTCGATGGCAATGAGTTTGGTTTTTGTTTCGGGCTTAAAGCAGATGTGTGCGTGCATGGGTGCTGAGCAAACGGGCAGCATGACTGCTGTTGACACGTGTGGGGGATCAATCCGAACCCTGCTCCTCACACTTGTTTGGGAGCCAAAGAGAACGGCCAGCCCTGGTCAGACCTCTCCATACAGCGCGCACTAGGCTCTCGTCTGGGAGCAGCCTCTGAAGGGTGTTTCTAGTCACCCGTCTGCACGTGTGTAAACTGAAGCTCAGAAAGAGCACGTGCCTTAGCCTAATGTCACACAGCAGCAAGTGGCAAGTCCAAGGTAAACCTCAGGCCTGCCTGCGCTTCCTCCACGCGAGTCAGCTGCGGGAGGCTGTGGACGTGCCAGCGCTGGCCCCTCTCACCCGTCCTTTCCCTCCTTCCTTTCTCTCTCTCTCTCAGGAGTGCCAGCTTCTCTCAGGGCACCAGGGCCTCCTTCCTCATGAGGAGCGACACCGCCGTACAGAAACTGGCCCAGGGCAACGGGCACTGTGTCAACGGGGTCGGTGGTCAAGTCCATGGCTTCTACAGTCTGCCCAAGCCCAGCCGCCACAATATGGAATTCAGAGACAGCAGTTACGACCTCCCCCGGAGCCTGGCCTCTCATGGCCTCACCAAGGGCAGCCTCACGGGCTCTGAGACAGATAACGAAGACGTGTACACCTTCAAGATACCTGGCAACACCCTGTGCCGGGAGTTTGGGGACCTCCTGGTGGACAACATGGAGGTTCCAACCACTCCACTCTCAGCCTACCAGATCCCCCGGACATTCACGCTGGACAAGAACCACAACGCCATGACAGTGGCTACGCCGGGAGACTCAGCCATAGCCCCTCCACCCCGGCCACCCAAACCTAATCAGGCAGAAACCCCGCGATGGGGCAGCCCTCAGCAGAGACCAGCCATCGGCGAAAACAGCAGATCGGCCTCTGCCGCCGCCACCATCCCCAGGCGCAACACTCTGCCTGCGATGGACAACAGCCGGCTTCACCGAGGTTGGTATCCACCGCTGCGACCCAGCCGAGAGAGAGGGAGAGAGGGCGCACAGGGAGGGCTTCAGTGGTGTGCCAGTCCGGGTGCATTCATGGTTGGGGAAACCTAAGGGCCCACCAGGTCACCACTGCTCCCGGGCTTAGGCACGTGCCGTCTCCTGGAGGCTATGAGCACAGATGCTCAGCTACTCGTAAATTCTCACAGGGGCAGGAATATGGCTGAGCTGGCCAGGGAGAGGCTACTGTCTTATTAAGGGAGCCAGAACATTCGTGGCTAACCACAACACAACGTAGTACGGCTTTGAAAGCCCAAATCATAGTATTTGATTCATTTCTAAATCAAACCAATGATATTTATTAATTTATTTTAAATAAGTAAGTTTACTGGGCCAGTCCAACTGGAGTCAAACCCATCTGAACTTAGCAGCCTATTAAAGTAAACAGGAGATTCTCTGAGTATTTTCTAACCCACAGTTGCAGCTCTTTGGTTAAGTCTGACCTTGAACTCAATTCTATTGCCATTTGCCGCCCATGCAGAGCATGTCAGCTCTGCGCGGAACCTCCTCTGTTTGATAAAAGACTGAAATCAGAGAGTTTGCTTCATTTCACATGTTGCTTCGTGTGTGGAGCCTTATCCTGCCCACCGTCGCTCAAGCCCAGCAGTGATCCGAGCGTTCAGTGGGCGCGAGCATCAGATAAGGCCCATGGTAGTCAGGAGACTGTTTTCAGGGCTGCAAAGTTGGTCGGTGGCAGACGGGACTCAGACCTCTGGGGTCCTGGCTTCTGGTTCAGAACTCCTGGCACAGCCTTTGAGTCCACCAGCCGTTTACACAGTCACCCAGTGCTTTGGCACTGCCATCCTGGAGACACATACAGCATGTCCCTGCCCTCAGAGTTTGAATCTTGAACTAAAGGTGGAGAAAAGCTACATGTATGAGTTAGTAGAAGTATTTCTATTAGGGTGTTAGTATAGGTGGTACCTGGAATGAGAGGAAGACGAAGAGGTGGTACGTTCTCTAGGAGTTTGAGGGGAGGCGCATAAACTAGGGTGGGCAGGAGCAGTCAGGGCGGAGTCTCTGTAGATGATATAACTGTGGACTGAGGTCTGGCAGTCAGGGAAGAATATCAGAACTGGAGGGTAATGTGCTAGAAGTCATAAAGACCTGGCCCCTGGGGGTTGAGAGCAGCGTCTCGTGCCACATCACTAAGGCAGCAAGCAGCCCTGGTGAGGGCACGGGGTGTGGGGAAGTGTCGGCCGAGACAGAGATAGATCAACTGCGAGGGATTATGGGACTGCCTTCCTCTCCTACAGCTTCTTCGTGTGAAACCTATGAGTACCCCCAGCGTGCTGGAGAGAGTGCCGGCCGGGCCGCTGAGTCTCTGGGTGATGGAGTCAATTCTTTCCTGGTGAGTGGAATCTATCCAGGCCCTCAGGTGGGCCCAGTGACGTAGAGATCACACTCCATGGTACTGAGAGATCAACCCACAGAGTGGGGGCATCTTTCCCTTGCGATGCTAGCTAGAGTCTTGTCTCCGTTCAGGACACCAGCTTCTGTTTTTGGATGAGTCAGAAGGAGGCATCTTGGTCTAGAGCAAAGGCAAACCTTTCCCCTGTCTCGCAGGTGCACCTGGCAGAGAGGTCTGAAATGCCAGGGACCACGCTCTTCTGAGGCAGCCTCCTTACCTATAAGGTGTCACCTCTCGGGTGGTAGAGTCTGAGTTCTCAGTCAGTGGTGGGCAGGGGTGATACTCAGAGTCTGGCCGAGGGGCAGGGTTATGGTTTGAATGCAGTAGCCCGGGCTTCCCCGGGGTAAGCCTAGACCCCGTTACCCAAGGCTCCAGCCAAGAAGACTAGAATCTAGCTTCTGGCTGAAATAAGGTAACCATGGTAGCAGAAACTCAGACTTCTGTCTAAGAAGACAGAACAAGGTTTAGAGGGGCTCTAATGAGGCGGTTACAGCGCACAGTTCCATGACCTCTCTTGACGCAGCGTAGTGATCACTTAGGTGCCCAGAGTGAGCTCTGGGTGCAGTGGGATGGGGAGGATGACTGGCCTGAGACCTGGAGCTGGGTCCTGAATGAAGTGTGGGTAGCCCATGGCCTGCAGGTGCCCTGTCTTGATCAGGTATCCAGAAAGCCCAGTAGACCCAGCCACCAAGGCTAGTATTGCACACTGTACATTGATCCCAGATTATTAGTGGATCCCAAGAGACCGTGGAAACTAGAAGTGACCTACAGGAGTCATTTCTTCTGGCCCCCACTCTGCTTTTTAAATTGATCTTCCCCATGCAGCTAGTTCAGTCATGACTCTTCCTGCCTTAAACGTAAAAGTCTCACCACCTTCTCCTGGCTACTGACGGCTCTTTCTTTGACTCTGCCCTCCCTAGCCCGGGAAAACCCTCGTGGGCCGATCAGATAGTGCCAGTTCTGAAGACAACTACGTGCCCATGAACCCAGGTTCCTCTTCCCTGGTGGCCATGGAACGAGCAGGTGATAACAGCCAGAGTGTCTACATCCCCATGAGCCCAGGGCCCCATCACTTCGATTCCCTTGGCTACCCGGCATCGGCTCATTCCATACACCGAGGCCCCAGCCGTAGCGAGATCCAGCCACCCCCTGTCAACCGCAACCTCAAACCTGACCGGAAAGGTAAGCCCCCTCTTTGCCCCTGTCCCGTGTGTGGATCATGTTTGGGGACTGCCTGCTTTGACTTCGGGATCAGGTATATTTGTCTTTCAAAGAAGTGGTGGCTTCTGGGGTCCACATCATCTCCATGCAGACATACACAGAAGCTAAGCAAACACTGCACACCTGAGGCCAGTCTGGGTGTAGGAGCTGTGTTCTTGGGCAGATGGGGCAGACCAGTCACTTCATGTCCAGAAGTCTTGTTTTCCCGTCCGTGGCATGGAAAGTATTCTGCTTACCTCCCAGAGTCGTCAAAGATGTAGGTGATATATCTAAAAATATTTTGTTATGTTTAAAACGCTCTACCCAGGGACAACCCCAGGGGCAAGGGAACAAGTGATCCAAAATCGATGGCGAGGAGGGTATAAGAGGCCTGGTGGGGCTTGATCAAGGACAATGTAACCGAGAGGAGTTACTGAAACCCAAATGAAGGTTGAACATGATAGTGGGACAAGAGGAAGGTAAAAGGAAATAGAGGAAAGAAAATAGGGAAAGGGCATTTATAGAGATCTAAATATAGGCATGTATATATGTAATTATGTTTATATATGATGGGGAAATAGATCTATGTGCATATACTTATAGCTTTAGTATTAAGGTAGCAGATGAACATTGGGCCTCCACTCAAGTACTCCCTCAATGCAAGAATACTTTGTTCTATTAAACTGGTATTCCATGATGCTTACCTCCCCGATACGATCACTGAAGACAAAGCAGGTGCATAAGGAAATGTGGTGAAGAAAGCTGATGGTGCCCAGATATCAAAAGATAAAGCGTCTGGGGTCTTAAAGGCTTGAAGATAAACAAGCGGCCATCTAGCTCAGAAGCAACAAAGCCCACAGGGAAGAAGCACAGTAGCCTGTGTGATCACAAGGTGTTGATAGGATCAGGTATCAGGCATCAAAGAACAAAAAATCATATCATTGTGAATGAGGGGGAGTGCGGAGTGGGAACCCAAAGCCTATCAGTACAACTGGACATCCCCTTACAGAAGGGTCATGGGGAGGAGATGAGCCAGCCAGGGTGCAATATAGCATCCATGAAACATACAGCTTTCCTCTAGTTCTTAATGCTTCCTCCCCACCACTATCATGATCCCAATTCTACCTTAAAAATCCAGCTAGACCAGAGCATGGACACTGTACAGATAAGAGCTGCAATCACAACCGCAGAAGTAACAAAAGCCACAATGAAGAAGCACACCAGCCTGTGTGATCACGAGGTGTCGAAGGGATCAGGTATCAGGCATCATCAGAACAAAAATTCTTACCATAGTGAATGATGGGGGAGTGCTGTGTGGAGACCCAAAGCCCATTTGTAGGCCACTGGAGATCCCCTTGCAGAGGGGCCTCGGGGAGGAGATGAGCCAGTCAGAGTGCGATGTAGCAATGATGAAAAATACAACTTTCCTCTAGTTCCTAAATGCTTCCTCTGTCCCCACTATCATGATCCAAATTCTACCTTGCAAGTTTGGCTAGACCAGAGGGTGTACATTGGTACAGATAGGAACTGGAAACACAGGGAATCCAGGGTGGATGATCCCTTCAGGACCAGTGGTGTGAGTGGCGATACTGGGAGCATAGAGGGAGGGGGGGTTGGAAAGGGGGAACTGATTACAAGGATCTACATATAACCTTCTCCCTGGGGGACAGACAACAGAAAAGTGGGTGAAGGGAGACGTCAGACAGTGTAATAGTGTGTGGGTGGGAACCACAGCTGTAGGCCTGGCCAGGGACAGCAGGGAGTAGTGGTGGTGACCGTGGTGACCATCTCCCTTTCAAATACTGTCTTGTCTTTCTGGAGATAGTCACACATTGAGGGGCCTGGAAATGTCATTCTGAAAAAGACAGTTGCCATCAGTAAGGAAAAATACAGAACTTGTCATCTGAAGACCTACCTCTAGGTCTGTCATGGTGGGCTGATACTTCGTAACTTCACTGAGCTCCCTGCGCAGAAGGGAAAAGAATGAGCACTCGCTTGTCACTATGTGTGTGTGACGGTGTGCACGCACACACCATTGTGAATGACTGTCTGTTTCAGCAAAGCCAACGCCACTTGACCTGAGAAACAACACCGTCATCGATGAGCTGCCCTTCAAATCGCCTGTCACCAAGTCTTGGGCGAGGGCCATGTGAGTGTCGATCGAGGGCGGGAGAGCTTGCAGGAGGGTCGTTGAAGAAATGAACAGAGTAGCCCCAGGCCAGGCCCATGAGGCAGGGAAGCTGGGTCCTGGTCCTCTCTCTCACTTTGTGTTGGGAATTGGGTGGAGGTCTGCAGCTCACAAGGTTTACATTCAACAGCACACAGGCCTTTGGTTCCTCCTATGCGCTGCCCCCCGCCCCGCCATGTATCCTCATGTGCCCCCAACCCTGAGTCCTGAGGCTCCCCTCTATGTAGCCCCACGTGCCCCACCAAGTCCTGGGGCTCCCTTCCATGTATCCTCACGTGCCCCTGAGCCCTGGGGCTCCCCTCTATGTATCCTCATGTGCCTGCCCTCAAGTCCTGGGGCTTGCCCTCCATGTATCCTTATGCGCCCTCCC